ACGCACGGCGAAATTTAATTTCCATTTTGTCACCGGCAGAGCGTGTGAAGCATATTTGCGCACGCGTATCAGAGAAGGGCGAAAAACTTTGGGAGAGAATTACGTCGAATGCGCGCGCGATGACAACGAAATTATCGATGAATCAATTCGATTAAATTTCGTTGTACGTAGGAGCTTGGCGTACGTCGTGGATCGTTCGCCCCGTTCCTGACGCTCGACATTTTAACTCGATTTGTTCGAAACGCGATACCCGTGGTGCGTATACGCGTCACCTTACGCTTATTTCACGGACCGCAGCAGTCTCGTGCGTACACGAAAGTACCTACGCATTTTGAATTATCTCTTTCCGCCTGGATATAGAGACTTTAAGCTCGTCGGATGCGTGCGTGTACCTCTGCGGTGTAGGCAACGGAGCACGATGAATCATTGTAAATTCAGCGCGCGACTTCAGCGGGTTATAAACTAGCGCTTACGCACGCGGGCCAATATTACAGAGTCGTGCGCTCGCGTGCGACATGAAAAATGCACATTTATATGTCGTGGATAGTAGCGTAGTAGCCGAGCTTTTTACTCTCGGTCGTCGCTATCGAGCTGCAGATAATACTCGGTCGATGCGACTCGCAGCCACCTCCGAGCACACGATACATCGGGCGAAAAATTATCGATCGCCGTAACTCTCTGTCTCTTCCTCGATTTGTATCGCGTCGCATCTCACCACAAAACTCTTCCCTTTCAAATGCATGTATACCAACCAGTTGAATTTAACTTTGCTCTCGCTGTCGTTTATCTTTGCGACTTATTGATGCGAAAGGGAGGACGCGACGAGCTTTCGCGACTGCTCCCCGCGTAAAGGAAAATAAACGTGCGATATGTACCTGCGAGAGATGTACACTCGTATCGAAGGTTGCAGTATCAATACATATATAATACCTGCATACGCTATCGCTCGCTGTATATACACTTTTGTGCTGGCAAAGGTCTATGTAAGGTCTTAATACGATTACCCTCGCACAAATGTATGTATATCTACCTGTGTGTGTGTGTGTGTGTGTGTGCTCGCGAGCTTGCGGTGAAGTTATACATACGTATACCTCTCGCGCCCTGAACTTGAATATTTCTCTGGCATCGGCGCTTCGGCTTATTCTTTTCACCTCGACGATTCGATTTGCCTCTGAACTCGAGAGCTTTTTTCCGAGACACGTGTGATTAATTAACCGCAGTTTTACTAAAGTACGAGTGCACGTCTTGAAAATCATCGAAATTCAACTCAGGCAATTTGTGACTCACGTCTCTGTGGCCGATTATAACTAGCATCGAAACTTGCCTACCCAGGGCTGATTCTATAAAAATCGATATTTAGACGGTAGGCACGCATATATAGACGATCCAAAGCTATATCTATCGGTCCGATACATTGAACCAAGTTTTGTGCCAGCGTGAGATGCCATATATGTTGCACGGCACTAGCACACTCTCTGCTTACAAATATGAGGGAATTAAAAATTTAACTCGCCTGGACACTTTGCTAAGCGAGATATAAACTTTTTTTGCAGCATCCAGACCTCACGTCATATTTAACGTTTTTTCTCGATGCCAGATCAGAAAAGTACAGCGATATACGCGAGCAAAAAAGAACCAGGTTGTTTTTATAAACGTCGGTGCATGACTGACACAATTCCCTGAACTTGTTACTATATTATTAGCTCGAGCTAGCTGCTTGCTGGGCGTTATTTCGCGAAAATTAGCCGATTCATAATTTAGTTTGAAATGCATCGTGCACTTGTATCCTGGGATACTGTTGATTTTCGTCCATACATCGGGAAATGTTTCAGATGAAAAAAAAAAATCTGATGATAATCGGATTAATTTTTAGTTATCGCGTCTAAAAGCGAATATCGGTTAATTAAAGCCACAATATCCGTATGAACTCTGAGTTACGCGCGATATTCCATTTAAACGGGATTTTACCGTTATTATCTTATACGCTGAGAGAGGTACATATCTCGACGTCGTGCCTCCCTTAGCGTTTGATGATGAAATTACTATTAATTCACACACTATAACATGTTAACGTACATTCGCATAACGTAAAGTTCAAGCCAATTGTTATCGAATAATTTGACTGTTTACGCACGTACTTACGAATATCTATATAGACATCAATTAAGAGAAGTCTCTTGAGCACATCCTGTATAGGCTGCTCCACTCGTGTGTGTACATTGACCTGCGCACTACTGACCGGTTAAATCCAAGAGGAATCTCGTGGGCGATACGATGAGCTGTCAAAAGCAAATTTGCACGCATGCGGTTACCGAGAGAAAAGCCTATGCCTATAATATGTGTGTAAATGTGCTCCTAGCTGCAGCTATATTAATTTGAAAATTTATTGAAAATTAGATAGCGAAGATGTTTTGATTAAATTCGTGACTTTATTTTTAATTGTGCAGCTTAAGAGTTCCAACGATTTAATACTTTCATTTGAAGATAAGCAAGAAGACTCTTTTATCTTGGAGAAATAGCAAAGACTTGAACTTTGGAAAACGATGTATCTAGAATAATTGCATTCATAAAATAGTTTTCTTCTTATTAAGTGATAATAAAAAGAACATTTGAGTATTTAATTTACGTTTCGAGCGGCGAATGAAAAGTAATATTTTCCCGACGTTCGCGTATCTTGATCTACGCTTTGAAAAGCGAAGTAGTTATATTTTTTTTCCTACTTTGACTGCGACACTCAACTTGGGAAAACTCGAGAAAAGGTGATTAACCATCCAAAAAACGTACCACTTGCACCGTCGAGTTTTTAATAGAAGTGCAGCACTCAAAAGTTAATAGAGGCCGGCCGCGCGCATTTGAAACGTACGCACATCAAAGCGAGATGCAATTATTTTCCAAAAATTTATTACAACGAAATCTGACAAAACGTTTACGCGGGGCGTGCGATTTCGAAATGATTGCACTGGAATGCACTTGGCGGAGCTTCGCATGCTCTTGGTCGGCGCCACCAGATCTCGCTCGCTCAACTCGCGGCAACAACTTCATTTACGTTCATTGAAAATCTCAACGTTACATTCGATACTCTTGCACAGCCATATTGCTCGCGTATTCGTGATCGCGCGCACACCTCTGCCACTCGAGACCGGCTGCAAAAATATGTTTACAACGCACCGAATAAACCCTCGATGTACGACTAATACATGCATTAGCGAAAATACATGTACACAGTCTTGCTTCGATGTTGACGTTCTTTCTCTCTCTCTCCTTGCCTTTCTTTCTCTTTCTCTCTCTATCTGTCTCCCTCAAGGCCTCTTGACCTCAAAGTCAAAGAAGTTTCTATCGCTATGCTGCACGCTTCGCGCTTCTAGCCAGCTCTCGGCTTTTACTTTATTACTATTCGTTATATGCAGTATAATAATGCAATGAAGTTTCTCTCTCTTTTTTTGCATATCGAGCCGACAGCTGTATACATATAATATAATCAAAATTAGTTTTTCCACGCGAGACTCTTAAAACCTATTCGTTTTTCTTTTTTTTTCTTTTTGTACACACAGACAAACTGACGTGCAATTTTTTATGAGAACAGAAAGTAAAAGGATCTTTCACGCTAGCCTCAGCTATTAGAAAAAAGAGAGTCCTACGAATAAGCCGACGAAAATCGCAATCGATCGATGACCACCTCGAGAAACTGTCTGTGTACATGGGTGAGTGTGTGTGTATGAACTCGTAAGTTAGGTACGTAGACGTAACGCCCAATAATACGCAGTCGCACTCACACACAGAAAAAAATACCGAAATAAGAAATAAAGAAAGAAATCTCTCCACTCTGCCTTTCTGCAGGCGCATTGATTAGGAAGTAAGCTTGCGAGCAGTGCAAAAGAAGTGCCAATGTGTCGCGGGCTTGCACTCGCGACGTGAGTGCACCGCTCGAAGGCAGAAGAAATTCTCATATCTCGCCAAAGAGAGAGAGACAGAAAGATATAGATAGGCGGATAGAAATGGAGGGAAACGCGTGTGCGCTACGTATACACACAAGTTTATTGCTCGCAACGTACTGGATGTATTATACAGGCAGGGATTTAGCTTTTCATTTTTATATAATATATAAACGCGAAATCCTCGATAAAATCGATGAACGGTGAGCGAGTGAGACGACAGCACATATATGTAAAAGCAGTCGCGAAGCTTGACTCTCTCTCTCTTTCTTTCTCTCGCTTCACTTCTGTATACTCGTACTCACACACATACGCTTTTTCGAGGTCACGCGCCTTGCTCGACGGTGTCACGTTATAACACACATTCATGGCGTTGGCAAGTTGTATCTCGGTCCCCCCCCGTACGACATAGCAATGTGTATCGTCATCGTTGTCACGATCGCAGAAGAGGCAAAAATCATGAGAATCGATCGTGTTGATGACTCTTGTCTTTCCCACTGCAAATGGCAAGCGTCGAAAAACGAAAAAAAGTTGACGCGACGAGACGCTTGACTCGTACTACTGATTTTGCTGCGGCACTTTAACGCGATCATGGTAGCCATCGTATTGAGCCAGAATGTTGGGAGCTTTGAGAGACGAGTCGGTGCAAGCGGGAAAGAGAGTGATACGAGTCTCCGAAAAATCAGACTGCATAATGCTCATCCCTCCTCGCACTTTAACCGAGTCTCGGTCGGATCGTTAAGCACACACTCGCTCACCCACAGACACACAGACATTCTGACACACACTCGCACAGGCGCGCGCGCTCGACACATTCACTCGCTCACACAATCGTGCACTCGTATAGTCTTGCAATACATACGTAATACGTACGTTCTATACATATATCGTGGCGTGCATCAGCAGCTGCACTCAGACACACACGTACGTACGTACACACAGGCGCTCGCACACACAGAAGCGCGCGCGCTCGTCACATGCACGTATACACACCCGCTGCTGGCGAAGCTTGCGGGGCGATTCGCTAATACACAATATGCAATCGCGAGTCAATACACGAATACTCACGATTATTGGCGATTGCTCGTCGTCGACGTTGTATCGTTGTGCAAGCTCGACGTTGATATTATATCACGTCGAACTTGTGGGTGTGTTGTTGGCTGCTGCTGCTGCCGCCGCTTCTGCTACTGCCTACTGCTGGTGCAGCTAGCCACCAGCTTGACACACCAGGCAGACACAAGAACACAAACTTTTACACTTCACCAGAATGAGACCCAACGATGTCGATGTAAAATTGATGAAAAAAGCCTTCGAGAGCTGCTCGGAGACGAGCCCTCGAGAGAGACGCGACACTCTCCGTGGAGCTCGATTGCAAGCCTCCGCGAGCTTGCGGATGCATACAAGCCCGTCGCACGCACGCACACGAGCACAGACGAGTTTCAGCTCAACTCAGGCACGGAGAAGAGGCACGCCTGAGCTTCATGGACGACGTGTGCATGTACGCGAACACGGACGTACAGCGTGTCGGTCGTTACGAGTTAAGAATGATTATTTCGCACGCACGAAGCGTGTGCTCCTTACGAGGGAGAACGAGAGCTTGCACGACGACGACGGTAGAGGCACATGTACGCACAAACAACACGCACGGACACACGGGCACACACACTCGAATACAGGGGCGCGTGTGCGACTACTGCACACACCGACACCCTTTCAGCTTGCGAGTACTGCTGGCTAAAAGCTGGCTCTCCTCCTCTACTTCTTCTTCTTGTTGCGAGCCGTTGAAAGTTGCTGCTGCTGCGACGACCCCCCGACTGCGACTTTCTTCAACGGTATACAACGCTGACTGGCTGACACACGCTCAGCAGTCGTGGCGCATTATTCCAATCTCGACACACGAATTCCCCGAGCTTCGGGATGTGGGAAGCTCTCCGTCTCTCTCACCTTCTTTTTTCTTTTGGCTCCCTTTTCTCTCTCCTGCCGTTTCTTTTTTTCTATCCCCAAGCCGAGCTATAACATAGTACTACAGGGGGTATTAGATGCAGAACTGCTCGGCGGAGCAGTATTGGCAGTCGCTTTGGGGCTGGCGCGCGCGCGCACACACATATACACACCACGACGACGACGACGACGGCGATCGACACTGTACGCACTGCTCCACTGTATGTGCACACTACAGTCGTACGCGGACACTATAGATAACGATATGGACACAAACTGCACGCATACAGAGTTACGTCGGACTGACGACGACGAGTATGGAGCGGCTACAGAAGAAGATCCTTCGGTTACGAGAGACGCATTATATGTACGTCGAGCAAACCTATGCCTGTGTCCGCAACGGCTACGTATGTGTGCGCGAATTACTTGGCGTTCGCGTGTACAGCGACGACGATGGAGGCTACATACATGCGCACATAGAGCCCCTGTGTCTCTGTGTTGGTGTGTAGGGAAAAGGGGGTACGAAAATCTATCCGCGGCACGCTCGTGCGCTCTGCTGCTGCGCCTGCCCGCCTGCCTCGATGCTGCTGCTGCTGCTGCCGAGCCAATCTATACAGATCGCACGTATACACGGGTACATGCGCGGCACACATTCGTACACCCAAGAGTAAGAGCAGCATCGCCTACCACTACACACCCCCTACTACGCCTGTCTCTCGCGAAGCAGCTCCATCTCGCGGCCGCTCGCTGCTGCTGGCAATGCTGGCACGGTCAGCCGACGAGCTTTTTCCTACTCTTTCGCCTCTCTTCGGCTTGCTGCTATCGGCTATCCTTGTCGCAAGCTCAAACTCACGCTGCTGCTGCTGCTGCTGGTGTGGAGGGCTTTTAGTGCGCGCGCACACGAGTCGGTACCGTACGTATCTATAAGTATAACTAGGTAGGTATGCGCGAATCGATAGACGCACGGACGGACGCATATATGTATACGTGCAAATGTACAACAATCACCCACCCACTTGCGATATGTATAACGTATACGTATACGAGCTTTCGCTGCTGCTGCTGCTGCTACTGCGCTAGGGAAAGAAAGCCAAGGCACATGTATGCACTCACACGTGCGCGCCCGTGTGTAGAGCATTTTTTTTCCACCCTCGTCGCACACACAGCGCCATCGTTTTGCATCGACTGATACTGCACAACATATCGCGTACATACGTATGTGCGCGCGTAGACGACAACGAGCCAAAGCTCCGCGAGCTTAGAATATGGATGTTTGGCGTCGAGCCCTGCGAGCTCTTTCGCTCGCTACCCTTGAGGAGACGTCGTCGCGCGCGTCCATGTGTGTGTGTATCTCGATAACAGCTGCACACCCGCGCGTATGCTGTATATCGTACGCTCCGTGTAAGCGACCTTTACGAGCCGAGCCGTCGTTCGATTGATTTTATTTACTTTGGATTTTCGTTGTTGTCTCCGAGCTTGCGGCTGTATCATTGTCGTAAGCCACTCGCCGACAAGACTATTCGCCTATAGCGAGGATCGTTCGATATATACACATGCGCCGTTATTATTGGCAAAAGAGAGATTCGATCCTAATTCTGCTTTAGAATGTCGAAGAGTGGGAAAGCATATTTATACAGAACCAGGGCGATGCACGTGCACCTCGAGTGCGTTGCAACTTGCCGTTTCTCTTCGGATTTTCCGTTTAATAAAGTGAGAAGGTTGCTAAGCTCATTATCCGACGCCAACGCAAATTAATTATTATAACGCTTGGGGACGATGGGGCATATGCGGTATATCAAGAGGTCACGAGAGCGCATGAGATATATAATATATTTTCGCTTCGTGCCGTCACACCAACAATCGACTACTCGACTATATGCACATTAATTTGTATTCGAGCATCCTCGTTCGACGAAATTAACTCTTACGACGATTACGTAGTTGTGCAGCGAGTTGCAGGGAACGAGTAGGCGTTGCAACACTAGCCGTAAGAAGGCAATCGAAAATTATGCATATAAGTAACGTATTGCCTTCGCGATTCCTCGAGACGGATAAAGAACGCGTTATATATACGTATCGGCCGAGCCGCGCCGGTATTTCGCCTCGTTCGGAGTTTGCGCGTCTGAGCAATAAGAAGGAGAGCGAGAAAATTTCGTCGACGGCTGAATTATTGATATTTCCACTCGCTACCGGTGGCTGTACTTATACTGCTCGCGCCGTTTTACACCGTGCGCTCGTGCGCTGACCGAGTAAATCCATCCCTCTGAACCATAGCACGTCCCATATATAGACATCCATGCCGCTGCTGCTGCTGTTCCATATCTCGACTCGAAGTCGGTTTATTTGGCACGCACACACATACATATGTACGGAAGGCAGTTATATGTTTGCAAGCAGTAGATATGTAGGCTTTTGACTCATTCTTCCCCCTTTCGCTTAGTAACCCGAGTAGTCTGAGAGCCAGAAAGGGAGCAGAGTGGAGGGCCATAGACTCGTGTGGGTATAGAGATCGAGCGAGGAGTATTTTCGGAAGCGCTTAGGTATCCATTTCGCGGATCATGTACAAAGCGACGCAGCAAGAAATGACCAGGAAAAACTCGTGCCCACGGAGCGCTGCGCCGAGAACAGGAAATCGATTAATCGAACTTGCCGCTCGGAGCCCTTTCTCTCTCTCTCTCTTATACGAGGCTGAACAGTCGCTTATTAGCGAGATCTCTACTCGGATGTCATCGTGGGATTTCGTTTACAGGCAGATATACATACCATATCTTTTGGGATTTTTTGCTGTTAAGGTTGAAATGGGGCGGACGGTGAAAAAGAAAGATAGGATGGTAATAGTAGACAAAATGAATCATACAGACAGTGGTATTCTTTTCTTGGCCTGAATTGCCTGCGAGGGCCATTTTAGTGATACAATTTCCAGCAACAACGATGAATACATAAAGTCAATTGAACTTCTTCAAGCCCATAATAGTATAACAAATTTTATGTAAAAAATGTTTAACTTATCGTAAAGTATAAGAATTTTTTGCTACTTTTTTGTAAAATACTGAAATGCAATAAAATTTTTGGAATGTTCAGCAAACGATTATCGAGAGCTGAAAACTTTTTCGGTAAAATTCCTGTTACAAAGTTTTTTCCATCTACACCAGTAACAATAAAGCCTTAATTTTATCGAGTGTCGGAAATTAAGGATGATTGAAGTTTTCGAATCGCTCACGGAGTTAAGAGCGTCTCAAGAGGGAGAAAGAGAGAGACAGGACAACTTTTGAAAGTTTACATAGACGAGAAAGTTTTACAATGGAGACCATTGGGGAAAATGAAAGTATCGAATGTATGCATCAGAAATCATGATTCTTGTAATGCAACCATCCCCGCATAAATTTTAGCTCGGAGCTACCGCAAGCACGTATCGACCAAATAAGCATCGTAGTACACCGCTCGGCACGCGTAATTATCACGCGTACCGCAGCGTCAGTTTCAATCCGTGCGTTTGCCTGCACCGACATAGATAAAAATGACATCGAAAGGCAACAACTCATCCAAACGATCAGCTGGATCCTCGACGTCGTCGTCGTCGTCGTCGTCGTCGTCGTCGTCGGCATTGGCAAAGCCCAAGGGCCAGGGTCGCCGCCGTCGTGGCGGCAGTGCCAGTAGCAGCGGCGCCAGCAGCAGCAGCAGCAGTAGCGATAGCCGCTGCAGCACTCGAAGCTGCCTCGGTAACGTTAACTTTGCCATCGAATCGCCCATACTCGGTAAACACTTCGATATTCCGGACTTGTACGGCGATGTACCGACCATTGAATTGGACGATACCTTGCCTTACGTAAGTTGTATATTTCTATAATTCATCGTTTCATTAATTTCACTAGTTGCACGATAAAAATAAACGGTTATATTTCTGCGAAAAAAATTATAGGTTCCGGTTTACTGTCACCTCGTAGTACCTGAGATTCAACCAGTAGTCAGGCCTCTGACACCTCCCATTTTAAGAGCTCTGCGCGTTGAACTGTAAGCTTGGGCTAAATTCATTCAAATCACGCCACAAATATTGTTGAATGTAATTGTGCATAATTTTCAGGGGTGAGTTCGTCCATACAAATAAATCGACAAAAGGAAAAATAGAGCAGAAATCGATCAAGAGTAACAATCCTTCTCGGCAATCCAGTAAAATTTAATAATATAGCAAAATCATGCCAATGTTAGCTTTTGTAACAACTATACTATACTCTTCTAAATAATACTTTTTACCGAAAAAAAATTAAGAGTATACCTTTATTTTCAGCTTCCATTAGATCCACATTGTTTACAACTAACTTATATGGTGTATCTTAATATATAATACTTGACGTATATTTGTAATAATAAATAAGAAATAAATGAAAAGGTGGGTTTCAAACTCTCCACTTTTTATCTCAGATCGAGCTTCACTCATAAATCTGCTACATATACTCTTGAACCGAAGTTTACCTCGAAAAATTCTGCTTCGTGCTTCATCTAGCCGTGTATACCCATAAATAATTAATTTTATTTATTTCGAAATATGATATGCTTTTGCAGTGGATTATGGAGCACTCAAACGATGCCATGGCATGGAAAGCGGCAACGAATAGAGGAGGCAAATTTCATGTGAAATATTCAAATTTTATAATTTATGATTTATTTATAAAGAGCTATCAACTCGATATTACAAAAAGATTTTATACTGGTTCAAATTTGTTAGGAGAATGTATTAACAGATAAATCGGTAACTTGATTGTAAACAATATGATCATAAACGACATTATACCTTGAATACATTGATCATGTTTATAGTAAAAACAAATTAGTTTGAATGTTGTCATTCTCGATAAAACGAGTTATAATACCGAAAGTTTTACTCATTCAATTTACGTAGATCTGAATAAAAGGATCCATCGTTCAATTCAACTAATAAAATGGATAAAAGTGACGCAAAATCCGGAGAAGTTATCTCTAAAGATAATTTAAGTGAACACGACATTGCTGTTTCAGTCGACAAAAAATACATTTGTGATATTTGCCAGGAGGCATTTACACTAGAATCAGACATGAAAACACATCGAGATACAATTCACAATGAACAGAAAGATTTTGCATGCAACAAGTGCGATAAGAAATTTGTGAAAAAATCTAGTTTGTCTGCGCACCAAAAATTAGTACACAAAGATCATAAAAATTACAAGTGCAACAAGTGCGAGAAAAAATTTGAAAACAAGTCAACTTTACTTAAGCACAAAAAAATATTCCACGAAGTTTTCAAAGATTACTTATGTGAAAAATGTGCGAAAAGATTTGAAAATAAACGGAGTTTGCGCTGCCATATAGAGAAGGTACACTTTTTACCTTCGCACCATCGCAAAAGTTACGCATGCGACAAGTGCGAGAAAATATTTGGACAAAAATCTTATTTGCTTTCACACCAAAAAACAGTTCATGAAAATCACAAAGATTACGCATGTGACAAATGTGAGAAAAAATTTGTACGAAAATACCATTTGATTTTACACCAAAAAACAGTTCATAAAGGTAAGAAAGATTACCCATGTGACAATTGCAAGAAAGTATTTAGACAAAATTCAAAGTTGCTAATCCATTTAAAGACAGTACACGAAGGTCGCAAAGATTACGCATGCGATAATTGCGAGCAGAAATTTGGACAAAGAGGGACTTTTTTACTCCACCAAAAAACGATTCACGAAGGTCGCAAAGATTATGCATGCGAGAAATGCGAGAAAAAATTTGGAAAAAAACATCATTTAGTCTCTCATCAAAAAGCAGTGCACGAAGGACGTAAAGATTTCTCATGTGAAAATTGCGAGAAGAAATTTGGACAAAAACATCATTTAGTCTCTCATCAAAAAGCAGTGCACGAAGGACGTAAAGATTTCTCATGTCAAAATTGCGAGAAGAAATTTGGAAGAAAAGCAGATTTGTTGAATCACCAAAAAGCAGTGCACGAAGGACGTAAAGATTTCTCATGTGAAAATTGCGAGAAGAAATTTGGAAGAAAAGCAGATTTGTTGAATCACCAAAAAACAATCCACGAAGGTCGCAAAGATTATGGGTGTGATAAGTGCGAGAAAAAATTTGGACGATTGTCGTATTTGCTCGTACACCAAAGAACAGTTCATGAAGGTCGAAAAGATTACGCTTGCGACAAGTGTGGGAAGAAATTTGGGGATCGAAGCAATTTGAACACACACCGAAAGAAAGTTCATGAGGGTAGCAAAGATTACCCCCATGCGACCAGTGTGAATGGAAATTTGGAAGTGAATCAGATTTTTTGAAGCACCAAATGAGGGTTCATCAAGATGATTAAGATTTTGTGTACCTCCATCGAATTCAAGTTGACACCGAAAAACAGTATAAAAGTTCAGAAACTACCTATCGGACAAATCTAGAAGTTTGTTAAAATTATGTATGTGATAAATACGCTTTTTTCATAACCGAAAATGTGCAATTGCAACCAACTGTAAATATATATAAGAACTTTTATAGGTTTTCAAGTTCATGCCTTTTTAAAATTTCAATAAACATATCATTACGTTTTTGTTCATTTTTGTGGTTTGTACTTCATTTATTGTAATTGCTACTCACCGTGCATTTTTTTGGCTCAAATCTCGATCAGTCAAGAATCATTTTTCATGCTACCCCAGCCGAATTAAACTTTTCCGTCCCTGCGGCCAAAATAAAAAGTTGATTCTTGCTGGAGGATTCATGAAAAATAATATACTCACCTACAAAGTGAAAAGAGAAAGTCTCAGAGCACGCGTGTATTACACGCTTGCTCCATAGGCAAGTAATATACTCATTTACGTCTTATTTAGACCTAGAATACTTGAATAATAGTTACTCTAATTGCGGAAGATCTATACCGAATCATTGAATTATTCTTATTTCAAACTTTTTAGTGTAGTTATAGTTTGAAAATGAGAAATTTCAGTTTGCTAAATAGTTGTGGGATTATATTTTATTTAATCGTCTTCAAAATCTGGTTTTAGCGGCCACCACAATACTTTTCTAGTATGAAGCAATAAAAATTTTTAATTTATTGATTTTTCATGAACAGATTTAATTAATTCAAAATATTCAAATAGCGTGCTGGAAAAATTACACTATGTAGGTAACTCCCCTTTAGATTTTTGATAAAATTTAATAATACTATGTAATGTAAATGATGAGATTATATCGATATTTTTACTCCATCATTTAAAAAAATAGATGTTTCACATCAAAAATATCCACGAAAAAATTAAAAGATAAATTTAATTCTGCCGCGTGGATTTGAGTTTCACATCGGTTGATAAGGCAGACGCCACAAGACGCAGAATAGCGTTACAAAGTTGCCCGTCAATTCTGGAACTCCCTCGACCTTTTACTATTCGACTACGCATCTACGTAGAGACTCAGCTATTCGTGGATTACAGCTCTCGAGTGTCAATAATGTGCAGGTTTCCGTATGCAACTGTCATATAAGAAGCCACGATGAAAGTGTCTAACTTTCCCAGTGCCATATTTACAATAAATTTTAGTAGATGTTAATTTTTTAAGTAAAAAGAAATAATGCCATGGCGAGATTGTCCGCTTACTAGTTCAGTTTTATAAATTTTTCATGTTACGTACATAGTGCGAGATGAGAACGTTGCAGGCTACGTTTTTGTTCGTCGCCCTAGTGTTTCACTTTTGTTGTGACACTTGCAATACTCAGCTCTACATTAATGTTAGGAATCAGGTAATATTTTGATTCCACTACTTGATTAATAAAAACCATTTGATTTTGATTGCTCTTACTTTGTATTTGTTTTCGTGGCATGTTATAAGATGTCAGTATATTAGTATTGTAAAGAAAATTTTTTATTTTAATTATGACATTCAAATATTATTTATGATTGATCCATACTTATTTATTGTTTGTGGACAGGGAGGAGATATTCTACGGGAAACCATTACGTCCAATACAACTGAAGATGTGATAACTTTAGAATTTGTACGTTGGGATGGAACGCAGGTCACTCAACTCATAGATTTTAAAAATGTAAGAACGCATAAGTACAAAATAATTACTTTAAATAAAAAAAATATAACAAGCTACATTCTTTGCAGGAAGTACAAGTTATCAAAGTTCTAGTCTTAGGCGAAGAAGAAAGAGGACAGAGTCAAGTTCAAATTATGTGCTTCGTTACTCATTTCGATAGAATAGATTTTATATCTTCTGATGCCATGGCTAAATTGCGACAAAAAAATCCTGGTACAATTAGAATAGCTGAAGAAGATAAGGGTCATACAAATTATACCATGGATTTATTTTTGGATATTATGCAATCTGGAGTAATTTCAAAACATGTGAGTGATCTTTGTCTGGAAGCAGGTGACTCAACATTCACAAGTAGTGAAGATGTAAAGTTTTGGGCTCAGAGACCAGGTATGATTGATTTTTCATTGTAAAAATTATGAGTTTAACAATTAGTTTACATTTGTATAACTTCATTTTCCAGGTTCCACAGATGGCACTCTTCGTATAGCTGTACATAATTTTACCTCTGCTGTACCTGTTCCATCTTCTTCTGATCCTTTAAAAATACCAATCGTAATTAAATGTGCTGATACATCTAATTTGTGGGCTCCTTGCACATGCTCTTTAGAATTATGTATAGGCTGGTATCCATGTGGGTTAAAATATTGTGACACTAAAGGTGAGAATAAGAAACCAGTAAGTCAGTACAGATGTGGTATAAAAACTTGTAAGAAATGTTACAAGTTCTCATACTATACCAAAAAGAAACAAAACTGTTTATGGGATGAATGACACATGAGATATTGATTAAAATATGTCAAAAACAAGACTTACACATAACTAGAAACATTTCCAACTAATTGCCCAAGTATTTTAACATTGGATGAAAAGCAATGACAGATTATTTAGTTGTTTTTTGAACACTTCATAATTGCACACTATTTTACTAATTTTAGAATTACTAACGATATTGGTAACAATTATCAAAGATATTTCTTATTCCATGTAACATATATGATGAAAAAAAGGAAAAATCGAGTAATTTTTTGTATGAATGTTCTAGTTTTGTTTTATATTTTTTATAATCATAATTATAAATATACAAGTCAACTTGAGTCATAATTAGTCACATTTAATCTTAATTTTTAAAGTGAAAAAATCTTCTGAGAGCCATTATAAATTAATGTGATGATTAATCAATTTTTACAGTTTATATTAGCAATATGTAAATAAACACTTGTACATAAAAAGCACTGAAAACTTTTATAGATGCAATATATATACAGAGTAAATATATCTCAGCAATGACGATGTTTAAAGGAAGTTTTATATATATCTAAACTGAATACTCTAAAACCTATCTCCACCAATGAACTCGAAGTGTCGTTGTTGTTCAGTAGGAAGCCCCTTTACTTGAAAAAAAATTGATTTAAAAAATGTGTATGATAGATGAAATATTGAATCTTGATGTAAATTCCTGGGATCTTCTTGTGTTAAAAAAAAATGACTAATACAACGCAATATTGATGCATGATATTATAAGATATTGCAATTTGTACAGATATTTTTCTATAAACATTTAATAAAAATATTTGAAAAAGCTCAGTCATGTCGAAAACCTTTCTGTTGAAAATATTGTTTATTTATAAGATACATTCAAAATAATTCTTATGCACTTTAACGTGTCAAAATAATTATCTAATTCTCATTTATAATTTCACGTGTGTACTGTGTACTTGTGTGGTTACTCAAAGTTGGGTAGACGGACCAGTGATTGACCGGGCACCAGTGAATGTGATTACTGATCGAAAGTGGCCAATCACTGGTCCGTCTATATTACTTTATTTTTTTAGACTGCGTGTACAAGAGTAACAGACTCGGTCCATCGAAATTCTAAAAAATCGTTATTTACATTAAAACTTGCGAAATTCGTGGTTAATCTGTTCTCATTATTCAACAAATATGCTCACGCATATTGCGTAATTGACATAAGTACGTTTTGACAATTAAGTTTCAATAACACTTAAAAAACATTTGAATAATATAGCCTATCGAATCACTTAATAATAAACTTGTCCGCGTTAAATTTTCTCTAAACTATAATCGTTATCTTTATAACTTAAAAAACCATTTAATTAGATGTACATAGTAAGCCGATGAGCCACGATTCGTTACCGCTCGAGCTCAATCTCAATTGGCATATTTTCCTATACATATTGATAGTATGTAGTTTCAAAAAATGTGCAATAGATTGTTTACTTATTTATATTTTTATTTTCATTCTCGTAAATGATTTCATTAATCAATTTATTTATTTATATCGATAGTGTACTTGAAAGAGTTGAATCTTTATCTATATAATAATATGACCTAAGCACCAAAAGAGATCCATGCGAATCAGAACTTGTTGTGATCACAATCGTCACACCCTATACACACATTGCTGACTATATAAATTATAAAAATATGTAAATATATAAATTATACAACATTTGTAAATATATATTTACTTTACATTTATATTTCCACCACACGCAAAATCTCCTGAAAAATCTCATCGTATCGAATTTCGAAGGAAAAATCATTTATATAGTTTAGAACGGATCACAGATCAGTATTTACATGTACGAAATTCAGTCGAAAAAAGATTACCTATCATACGTTTATTGCACGATTCAGAATTGCGTTGGTTATTTTTATTTCTTTTTTTTAAATTTTTTTTAATAATAATAACTACGTTGATTAAAAAGTATTTTTTAGTTCTCAATTCTCACAATCTTGGAGGTGGCATCTTATGACAAATTTTTCATTCACTCAGTTAAAATTTTAATTGTCCTCATGAATGCCCATCACAGGTAAAGAACGTATTTCCTCAGATATCCATAACGAACGGCTTCACGCGTAATCATGTTTTTTTAATATTCCACACAAAAATGTAAAAATCGTTTATTTTCCTCGCATTCATTCACGTTTTCTACCATATTCTCCTCTTCGTTTAATCAGCAACTTCGTCCATTAACGATAGAACTTAAAAAAACGTAAAAAATTAATGACAAAAAAGAAAAGAAAGAATCAAGAGAAGAGAACTAATCCAAGTTCATCGTTGGTGCATTCAAAGCCAAAAAATTGGCCCTATTTATTAATATCTATAAAATATGTATAATACAGGAGCAACTGCATCAATGTAGCTAACTACTGTAACAGGTTTTGCGCACGTCGGCCAGTATGACGCTGAAATCGTCGTCGGGTTTGGAGGCGTGCTCGATACTCTGGCCGGTTGGCTGCTGCTGTTGCTGTTGCTGTTGCTGCTGCTGCTGCTGTTGCTGCATCTGCTCCTGATACTTGCCGAGCTCCGCGTGTTGATACTGCTCGATCGAATGATGCTGAAGGACGAGCGGAGGCATGGCTGGCATCTGCTGCTGCTGTTGATGCTCCTTGGCTTGCTGCTCGTCCATGATACTACACCTCGGGCCGGCTATATCGAGCTGATGTTGATGCTGCGAGGACTGCTGCTGCTGCTGCTGTGGACGAGGTTGGGAAGGCTGTGGCTGATGCGGCGAGTAGTAGCGCAGATCGCTGGCGTAATTGTGATTGCTGTCGAGCATACTTTGTGTAGTTAGACTCGTATGATGATGACTCGGGGTCGACGCGCTCGAGTTAATACCACTCGTCGTATGGTGTGCGTACTTGTTCAGGTACTTTTCCAGCTGCATCACGTGCTCCTGATCCTCGTCGTGCTGTTGCTGCTGCTGCTGCTGCATACCACCACTGGCCGCATCCATGTGACTCTGCTGCATTTGTTGCTGCATTTGTTGTTGCTGTTGGCTCTCCGACTGATGATAGTCTTGATGATGAGGTAACTGGTAGCGGTGTGTCACACCTGCATCAAAGAGTTCAACGATCGGTTAATATACCTTCGGCTGCGATCGGTATTGCGAGTCGCTCTCTCTCGCAAGAATATCGATTCGAGCGAGCCACTAAATCAAGAGTTGCTCGATCATTTATGTATTGTACGTAATGTGTAATTTCCCGAAGGAGGCCCACGTGTGTGCGCGATGTGTCACGCTGTGACCAATTAATCGAGCTGCTATACGATCGTACGTATATATATAGAGGCGCGCGCCCACGCCAAGCTCGAAATAACAAATTGAGCCCACCTATAGTCTCTCGTGAACGCCTGGACAAATGACTTACCGGAGCAGCCCTCGGCGGGGCGCAATCCCATGCTCTGCTGCTGCTGCCTACTTCCGGCGCACGAGTAACCTCCAGTCCCTGTATCCTGTTGTTGTTGCTGTTGTTGTTGTTGCTGCTGCTGCTGCTGCTGCTGCTGTTGCTGTTGCCGCTGCTGTTGGGACTGTTGCTGTTGTTGCTGCTGCTGCTGCTGGGTAGAGTAGTGAAGCGACTGATCGTGAGGCGTCCCAATGGGTGGATAGAAGGTGCCGGTTACGCTGCCGACGTTGTCGAAGCCCGATCGCATCTTGTTGCAAGACACCATCATCCCATTGGATATACTCACGGCTATGCTCGACGACTGCTGCTGCTGACGATCGAAGTTCATGTAGTTTCCCTTGAGAGTGCACACAAGTATTTTTTAGCGTCAAAATATCATACATCGAACATCGATATCATTGCCTACTGTGAATTTCAACGATCGCATGCTCTTACTTTTTTGTGCGTCGGTAACGTGTCGGAGTACTGTCCAGGTGTGTTGGCGCAAGAGGATATGCTCGAGCCAACGACGTGCAGCTGGTCCGCGCCGCTCTGCATGTACGAGTAGCGTTGCTGCTGCTGCTGCTTATTCTGCTCGTTCATCTCGTATTGCTGTTGCTGCTGCTGCTGCTGTTGCTGCGACTGCTTCGATCCGCCACCGTCCATGAGATCTCTGTCGTGCTCGGGATTCTGCGACGGATGCGGACTGGTACCTTTTGTACGCGCGTAAAAAATCACGTATAAATACGTTGTTATTGACGCTACCTGGAGCTCGAGTGCGTAAGCGCGGAGCTTTGAGAAAATTTCGCGGTCGCAAACTGCAAACTTGTATTTATTACGTACGCGGGTAATGAGTGCGTTTACGTGCAGTGAACGGTAAACGCGACCAAAGTGCGGCTAATGCAGTATAGCAATATTTAGTCGTAGGTAGAGGATATACATAAGTAAGTTGAACCTCGCAACGGTCAATGTTCATGCGCGCCTCGCACGGACTATGAAGTGTATTTTAGACGCATTCGAACACCGCAAGTCATAAAATCTCTTTCACTCGTGTCTTTGCGCGCATACCCACACATGCGCGCATTCGCAGTTTTATTGTCGTAAATCATCGCGCACGCAGATATTATCCATATCCGTATCTCTCTATACGTAAGACTATTAACGGTTGACACAGAAAGAAAAAAAAAGTATTACCATCGGGCTCGGGGCTGGCGACAGGACTCGTATCGGGCGTGTGAATGATCGGCGTGTAAGGGCTCCCGTAGAGCGAATTGTTTTCCGATTTGTAATCCTGTATCGTCTGCTGCTGTTGCTGCTGTTGCTGCTGTTGTTGTTGCACCGCTTGCTGTTGCTGATGATACAGGGAAATCGGCGATCCGCCCCACGCCATCTGGCTCATATTTTGATAATTGTCCATTTTCGATCTGCAAGGATCGTCGAATAATCGTCAGCGTCAACTCTTAGAAGGTAAAACTTTTTAATCGCGAGTACGCGACATCGTGGAGAAAAATTTAATTGGCTTTATTACGAGCTTTCTCTCGGCTACATAAATAGATATAAGTAAGCGAGGTGTTGATTCAATAATTGGCTGAAGGTACGCGTGCGTAGGTGTGAGCCATTTTCTCGACGCCTTGTTCATAATACATATTCATGCAACATCAAATATAAAGGCGTTCGAATTCTCACGACCAATTAAAAAAAAAAAAACAACGGCAACAACAACGCACGAGCTCGTCTCGCGCACACTGTTAATGAACTCGGAAAAATTTCACGAGCAACGAATTAAACAAAACAAAAAAAAAACAAAAGAGAAGTAGAAAATACTCACATGCTGTGATGGATACCGGCACCCACGCCCGATCTATTCGCGGACGACTGCACCGATCCTACGGGTCCAGCGGCGCCGGCACCGCTCGACGAGGCACCGCCACCGGGTGTAGGCGGCGAGGCGGGCGCCCCCGGCGGACGCTTCGCGTGCTTTCGCCTGCGGGGCCTGTACTTGTAGTTGGGGTGCTCCTGCATGTGTATCACGCGGAGTCGCTCGGCCTCCTCGACGTACGGTCGTCTGTCCTGGGGCGTGAGTCCGCGCCACTTCTTGCCTGCAAAATTCAAACATCAACTCGTCAACGCGTTGCTCGATGTGTCTCCATGCAATTGCTCCAATATGTCGTGATTGTTAATTTACGATATCGGTCGGCTATAGCTTACCACGATAATGACTATCGTCCTTTTTAAATTCGGTATACGTGCAGCGTGAAAGAAGAAGAGGAAAAATGTCTTAATTAATTTATTATACGTGCAGCGCCCAAACACAATGTAACATAATAATTGCATATAAATGTATGTACGTAAATATGTGTGCATATGAATGGCAGCTCGAGATAATTCGCGGCACGAGTGCGAAAGTTCACACCTTTTCTGCATAATCGAAGTAGGTCGCGCGAGCCGACTATATAGTGCGCCGCTGCCGCCGCCGCCGCCGCGTTGCAATGAAATCATCGAAGCTGTCTGTCTCGATCGCTATACTACGCACTTATGCGGCTGACTTAATTAAAATAACCACTGCATAGATACGTACACGCGCTATTTATATGCATATACGCGTATACGTGTCGGGACCCAACATCGAATGTAAATATCGAAAATAAAGGAATAAAAAGCGCATTCGGAGATATACTGGGTACGGAAAAAAAGCTGGGATCACTGTCAATGCAAAGAGAGAAAGAGCTTTATTAAGTTTTATCTGGATCAATTAATTCTTACACAAGCCGCGCGGAGCTATGTGACTAAATAAATCGGGCCGACTGCCAGGCAGGGCCTATTATCGCTCGACTTTATAACGCGCGAAATTGAATTGGTGTACACGGGCCGGTAAACAACCGCAAAACTCGTATTCGAGCGCGAATAAAATGCATAATGCATATAATACCGCGCGCGATATTTGACAATCTGTACTGCTCGTAGCGCATAATAGGCGGTGTCTCTTTCTCTCTCTCTCTCTGGACCCATTCGCCTGTGCACACCTCTGATGTATAGTTTTTGTAGATACGTAAAAGGACGCAGAGCCGAGACCAGCAGTTTTGTAGCCGTGTGTTATACGCGCGCCTATCGAGAGCTATTGTTATCGCGCAATTCGAATTTGATTACAATTGATCTTTTGTTTTCACCTTTACGAGTCTATTAGTTCGACGATATGTTGCGTCTAACTGTAGCTCATTGACACCTATATTTGTCAAATAGTGACAAACATTTCATTTTATGCTTTAATTTTCCGCTTGTTAAATTTTGAATTATCGAACGCTCTATATGACGACAAGTCGAATCCACGATACTTCCCGGGTGCATTTCAAATCTGGTGATATCATTATTTTTGTCCCCTTGGAAGAACCGCTCGCTACTGTGCTCGCTTGCTCATACGCGATCGGTATAAAACGATAAATATCATATCCGAATCGAGAATTGCGTAGACAGACGTACATATGCGATATATACTTGCAGGCTCCACGCAGGTTACGTAAATTTTGCAGCCCATAATGTAGCATATAGACGCGTGCGTGAGAAAACGTCCCAAGGAAAATCAAAGAAGCGGAGAAAGTACGTTTGGTTATATATGGAGATATCGCTGTACGTAAGGCCGCGGAGCGCTGGAAATGAATGAAAGGGCCGGTCGCGATTTTAATATACTCTAGAATTCATACATTATGGGGCACGTTTAATAATGCAACGCACGAGTACGCCTATATATCGATATCAAAAAACGAGGAATATGTTTTATACGACTTGAGATTCCAGTTCATAAACTTTATAAAGTCGATCGACACACACACGTACGTGTTGCGGAGCGCCTTGTGCGCGTTCTACAGTGTATATTATGCATACGTCTGTTTACATTTGGATCTTACGTGTACAATGTTATACCTAGTCTTTGAGCTGCTCTGTAGTTTGAAAATTACGAGCATATTTTGATTTCCTCGTTAGATTATTGCACGAATGAAAAAGTGGAAGTGTTGTTAATTTTTTGCTAAATTATATCTGGTTAGGGACATTATGCTAGGATCAACTTTTCGGGCTTGGTAAAAGCTTGTCGCAAATTTAAAAGACCCCAAGTGCGACTTTAAATTACGGCAAGATCAACAACGTTTCAGGCAAGAAAGTACGTTGTCTCCTTCATCCTCTTCAACTCGAAATTGCTAAGAAATCGCGTGGAAAATCATCCCAGTAACTCCCGCGTTACAAACCTGCGGCTGCAGTCGTATATACTGATGCGTTTGCTCTTTCTCTCTCTCTCTTTCTTTCATTCTGTCTTGCTCCTCGTGGCATCGAAAAGTCCCGCAAAGAAAGGATATTCGCTCGCGCGCGCGAGTGTGTCGTATATATATAAAACGCACTAGGCTTTATATATACGGGGGCGTAGACATGGGTGCGCCCGCGTGTGTCTGCCTCGGCTCCGAGACTCACGAGCTCGGACTGTATGTGTGTGCATATAACACATCTATAGAGAGAGAGAGAGAGAGAAAGATGCAAGCCACGGCACTGCCACAGCTCTTGTGCACGCGGGCCATTATTTCATATTTCATTTTGCTTTGGCCTCTTAGCTGCAGCACATAAGCTGACTGACTCCTCTCTAGGCCTCCCTAGAGAAATGCTCGCACACGTATATATATGTGTGTACATGTGTGTAAGAAGACACACGCAGCAAAAAAGGAAAATAAAAGAAGAAATCGGAGATTATACGAGAGGCGGAAGAGACTAGCTCGAGGCCGTTCGACTCTCCGCTTCGCGTCCTATGCGCGCGTATACATATACGATGATGCCGTGCACTATACATATTATGCCGGGCCGCGACTGCATTAAGAAAGAGAGAAAGAGAGATGTAGGAAGTTGGGTCAGGAGGCGAGCCTTTGATCAATGTTGAATTTCTTTTTTCTTTTTTTTTTCTTTTCCTTTTTTCTTTTCATCCCCCGCGCCCCCACCTGCTGCTGCTCTTTCCACGCGCGCGCGTGCACCGCTCTCGATCGAGAAATCATCGCATCATGCAGTTGCAGCAGCAGCAGCAGCAGCTGATTTTATTGTAACGATGCGCACGAGTTTTATGCAGAGCAGCAAACGAGAGATCGAACGAGCTTGATTCGTACGTCCTCTCGGCCTCTACACTAGCATAGAGCTTGAACCATTCATAAATGTATTCTATAGCATTGCAACGCATCCAGGGAGGTCGATTCACGTTTCGATCCGCGAGTCTCGATTTTTACCAGGCTATTCATCTATGCATGCACCTAATATAATTGATCCGGCGTTTATTGTGCTATATAAATTTCATTCATTCTTTGGTTGCGGCGCCCATCGAAAATATCGCTCAATAACCGCTGCGTGCCTTGAAAAGGAACAATCGGGAATCGCGCCTGAGATTCAGCTCTCGATTCTATTTGTATGTAATGCGGCTTTATACCGAGCCGGGTCCAGTTCGCGCTGAAAATAACTAATAATATTTTTTTGATATAAAATGATTGAGAAAGTCGATTATGTGCATTCATAAAACGTATACGTATACTACGCATACACATACATGTCATCCGCGATATCATCTTGGTCGCGGGGAAAATTTCGAAAGAAAAAATTTTTTTTCCTCTCTCTCTCTCTCTCTCTCTTTCTCTCGGCTTATATAAGCCATTAGAGTGCCTTAACGAGGACATATATATACCACGAGCGAAGGTAGGCTGACTCGGAGCTGCAAGTAAATATACACTTACATACATAAATACGTGTACACGGCGACGAGGATGGATAAACTGCGAGCAGACGGCAGCGGACGAGCTGTGCGCGGGTGTGATGATGAATCACTCAAAGCTCTTGTATTCCGCTGCTGCAGTCTCGAAAGTTAAATTAAATCTCGAGACGTCGAGGAGTCGTGTCGCGTGCGCACCACAAGCTGCACTTACACGTCCGTATAATAGCTGTACATAATACACTTCAACGTGTGGCAGAGGAAGCCAAGTCGGATCGCGAAGGCCAGAAAAATAAGAAATAATAATAAAGAGAGCAAAAGTCCTTCTTTATATACACCTTGAATGAGAAATTTAACGTCGATTCGTACAATATTAAGCCATAGTAGGCTCGTCATGGGTTATGAAAGTATAATCCTCCGTAATGTACACTTTAAATGCTTACAGGATTCATGATGATATGCATGTAGGATACGCTTATATATTTAACGAGTTCGTTTGGCATGAATCAACTGCTGCGCGCGCGCTGATGAAGAAACAACTGCCTTCGCTATAAACATCGATAGTATTTATATGTAAGCTTTTATTTCCTTGAATTAATTTAATTAACCGTTCGACGAATGTCCAACTACGTACGTATGTGTGTGTATGTACTCGCGGACATAATTGACGAGCTGTTCGAACATATATAATACACGGCCAGGGTTAAACGTTACCTATGCTCAAAGTATATGGAAAAAAATCAAACCATCGTCGAACTTAATCGTATACACACGAGCTTTTTTTTAGTTCATTTCTTTTTTCGTTGCTGTGCATTCGAGTTGATTTTTGCGACGTTAAACATGTACCGATCGAAATTGCAGATAGCGAGCTGCAATGCAGAGCCAAAGAAGATCTTACGTATATAGAGTATAAATACCGGCCGAGAATCCGGACGTATTTCAGTTGTGTGTCTGTGTGTGTGTATACACGTCGAGCGTCGAGCAAAAGGCTTGTCGCGCGAGAGGAGATTTGCATCTGCGCGCGGAGGCTTACAAACTCTCGCGAGAGGCCTGACAATTGAAACGTAGTATAGAAAAGCGTGTATAATGTGTGCGAAAGCTGCAGTAGCCGCGCCGGCGCACAGCTGACAATTTGTTGACGCGCGCTCGATACGCTCCCGATCGTCCTGCGCGTCCGAGTCTCGATCCCTGATCGTTACCTTCTTTTTTTTCTCATATTCTTTTACCTATCGACGTTATGGACGTATCTCGACTTGTGAAATTCATAAACACAACGTTGAATTATACATATCGCGCCATAATTATGTTAATCTAACGACGCGAGATACTGTGCACGAGCCCAAGCGAGCGAGAAAATTACGGCATTATACATTA